TCTGAAAGAGGCGTGTCAGTGAGCGCATGTTAATGTGGCACTGGACTGTACCAAGTGCACTCACGCACAGGAGGATCTTCAAGACCCCTCTCCTGACCAATGTCACCATCATCTATCTCTTTTTAGGGGGGCATGAGGCAGAAGGGAAAATGTGAAAATGTGGGAAAAGTTGGGGGGTTTGAAAAAAGTTGTTTCTGTGCTCTGTTGACAACCTGCTACGTTTAAAACCTGGAGCTGGATTACAAAGTCGATTTTGAAGCAGATTTAGTGAGTTATGGCATACTGTTACTTGTACATGATGCAACCATTGGCGTTTCTATGGCAACAGCCCACACAGACACAAGCCTACATGATGCCTCAGTATAGTGTGCTTTTTCATCCTGGAATATTGTCATGTTGTAGTCTTGGCAACTCATTTCATGGGAATTATTTATAATTAGTTCACATTGCAAATTAAGGAAAAAACATTTAGTAAATAGTTGCACAGTAAATATTTTACGATGAATAATATTTTCATTACATTTCAGGATAATTCTTTTCTCCAAAAAACAATATTATATTCTCAATTAATATGCTAGTCCTGACCCATTCAGACAGAAAAAGACTATGCTCTAACATTTGGTTAATTTAAAGAGTTAATTATCCTCACCCCAGTTTGTTGCATGATGACTAACCTTGAAAAAGGGGGTTTGGCAAAACCAACCTGGAACAAATGTTTCAATTATTTTAGAAATATCTGGTTTGCTCTTTTAAATATTGTGTTTTTAAAACTTTTTTTCAGACACGGTTTACCTTGTCTATAAATTAATGTAGTGTGACATTTCTAAAACATATTCAGAAAAGCAAATCATTGGTAATTACATTTTAACACATTTCCAGTACTTAAAAATTATCATTTTACTTCTTCCTTCATACAAAATAGAATGATGATAGAATGCACAAAATGTATCCAGTTTGTCTTATTTTTTCTTAGCTTGCTTTTTGAAAGAATGCTATAACAGAATAACATCTGCTGTCAACAACGAAGTACCTACTGTACACTTCAGTGTACTTCAGTGTACAGTCATTGATTCATCTGGTACATTATTTTGAAGAGCCCTCTCATCCTTCACTATGATGAAAAGCACCATATACTGTATGCAGCTGTTGCTAGCATTGATACACAAGTCTGAGATTACTGCCTGAGTTATCAGCTTTTGTTTTTTATAGGATCAGTGACTTTCGCTGCAAGTTTTGGATTATTTTTTAGCTTTTGAAAATCTTGGTATCAGACAGAGGAAGTTTTGGACCTGTGTTTTTTCTTGTAGCTGTGGTAACGGAATGTCAACCATTGACCTAATGTAACTGAATGAGATGAACAAAAAGCATTACTGCCAGATTTTTATACAGCAGTCAAAATGGTTTTCTACTTTTCAAGAGTTAATTAATTACTAACTACAGTACCAAGATGAGCCAATCGGCCTCTTCTAGTTTTTGATTGTGCTTATATAAACTAATTTACCCCATAATTTATGCTGAGATACATGTATACAGAGCAAAAAAAACAAATGATGTTCATAGAAAAAAATAACTTTTGATTACATATCAATTATTTACTTCTAATTCTAAAAGAATTGAAATCTTCTACTTTTAATTCTAAAAGAATTGAAATTTGTATACTATATTATAAAACGTTCTCTCATAAATATATTTAAGAACAGATTTTTTCAACTAATCTGAAAGTGTCTGAGGCAATATCTGAGAAACATTCTCATTAATAATAATAATAATAATAATAATAATTATGTTATTATATAGCATATTTAAAAGTGGCTTCTCAAAGCTCTTTACAGAAAGAAAATCACGATACACAGTGTAGAAAGGTAGCAGAATTAAACAATTACAAGTGGGTTTTGAATACAGAAGGAAAGCAAAGGGGCAGAAAACGAACCTAAAGAATGAGGTTCTGAGTCTATGAAAGAGCTCAGGGAAGGTGACTCCCTCTATCTTTGGGGATAGAGTTCCAGAGCTCTGGGACATAACAGGAGAAGGCCCGGTCACCTGGATTAGTACCCCTGTGAGTAGGGCATTACAGTAATTAATCTGAGTGAAAACAAAAGTGCTCACCACCTTTTTAGCAACAGTTAGTGACAACACAGGATGTAGTCTGGCGATATTTCTGGCGAAGAATTATGCTTTTGCATATGTTGAGCATTTAGGTCAAACATCAAGCCTGAACTAAATATTACCTCCACGTTCTTCAATTTAGATTGAAAATCAAGTACGGTACCACCCACAGATAGCATCGCTGCACTGGCTTTACATACTGTAGTTGATGAGTGATGCCCAAAAGCATGACTTCAGTCTTGTCATGGCTCAAATGAAGGAAATTTTGAGTCATTTATTTTTAACGTCAGAGATACAGTACAATTAGAGAGCAGAGACAGCCACTTCGGTCTCAGGTTTAGTACCCATGTACAGTAGCATTAAAATGATAATTTACTGTAGACTTTGTGATCGTAATAATCTGAGCAAGTGGAAACATGTAAATGCTGAAGAGTAGGGGACCCTGGTATCGAGCCCTTAGGAACACCAGACTTAACAAGGACAATTTCAGAACTGAAACCACCAAGAGAGACAAAGTGACGGCGATCAGCAAATTAACACATGAACCCCTTAAGAACTGTATCGAAACTTCAAACACATCTCAAGACGAGAAAGTAAAATATCGAGGTTAACAGTATCAAAAGCAGGTCTGAGGTCAAGAAGAATAAGGATAGAAAGAGAACCAGAATTAGAAGCCATGATTATAAATGACTTAAACCAGGGTTGTTTCTGTGTTGTGATAAACCTTGTTTCTGGACTGTATTCTAAATATTACACCTTGAAAGAACTTCAGATTTTTTTGTCATGGCTTCTGGTTAATACATGACTGTTTTTGATACTCTTACTGTATAATTAACAAACAAAATTCATGACAATGTGTTTTTGCTGTACAGTATGTGGTTTCATAGCTGCAGTTGTATGATAATCCTGCACTGTTTGTTGGCCTCCTCTATGCATGCATTGAGTAATTATTTTACATATCCGATACTGCTCTTTGTGCATTTTAACAAACTATGGTACTTCTACTCCTATTTCCATACCTATTTTAACTTATTAGAACCCAAGTTAATCACACCCACACAAAGAAATGTATGTTCTTGCTTTTGGGAATTTTTGATTGTTGGCTACTTTTCGAAAATAGAGTATTCATATCAATTATACAGGCGGTGTAAAGTAGTACAAATATGCAAAGTGAAATTAAAAACAAAAAGAAAGAGCTGGAGAGAAATTGGCTTGAGGGAATAACATTAGTAGGTGGGATGTCAGTAAGAAAATCCTCATCTAGAGTTAGTAACAAAATTTGTAAAAACTGATCCATAGCCATGACATTCATTGGATTATTTTTTAAATGTATGTTTTTTTTATAAAGGCATCACTTTGTTAGAATAAAGTAGAAAAGTGCCAACTATAAAATGTTCTGTGCTGAGAAAAAAGAACTGAACTTTGTGAACAGAAACTATGAGACTACTTGATTCAAGCATTGTATTCCAAAACCTCAAAAGTAACCCAATGGGCTTCTTCAGAATTAATAGTAAAACTCAAAACAGATGACACAAGTGCAAATTGTGGTGAACTACCCCTACAGATGAAAAGATGAGAAAAGAAGTCATTTATTTACACAATGGGTTGTAGGAGCGTGGAACAAGCTACCCAGCCTTGCTGTTGAAGCAGATGTCCTGGCATTTTTCAAAGAATATTTAGAAGACATCCTTTGATCAATCAGCCACTAAAAATTAAATTAAAAGGATTTTTGAAGCATTCTTCTGGCATATTTTTCTCTCCTGAAGTGTGTCTAATTTACATCCAGGGCAACATGGGATGCAAATCCTGTCATTTAAGTTATCATTGTGCTGTCTTTTAATCTGGATAGGTTTGGCTACCTCCCAGGGCTATCTAGTTAGCTCTTCCTTTTGCTAGTATTACAAGTTGGGTCGAATGCCTGTGTTTTTGGAAAACCTGTGTTAAATAAATAGGTCCAAAGCATATACAAATATTTTTGTACTCGTTTATATCAGATTGGGTGTTACGGCTGTAATTTTTTCTGCCTGAATGATTATCTGAGAGAAATATGGTCACCCCCATTGTCTTTAACTTAGCAAATTACTGACTAGGTAAGTATGTGGAATGGTAAAGTATTCAAGGTAGGTTAAAATATTCAAACATTAATTTGATTAATTACTTTTGTTTTTGACGTTTTTAAGGCAGATAATAAGGCTTATTATTTAAGCCTTGTGCAGCATTCAAAGCCAAATTAAATGACTGACAAGTTATTCCTATGTTTCTGTAACTAACTTTATAAAATATCATAAAATCATTAGGAGGATAACCCATATGTGTTATGCATGTCTAATTCCATGAGCACCCTTTCCCTGCATTTATAACAGCATTCTGATTCTTTTTGTTGCAAATATCTTGCATCTTGGGCATAACATAAATCAGGACACACAAATGTTTACAACTTCAAGGCCTGACTATGGTGACCTTTAGACAAGGCAGCTACGATACAGCTCTTGTCTGTCCTTTTATTATAATGTGACACTTTAACTGCATGGATGGTTGATTTGCTAATTAATGCTTCCCTTCAGCATTTTCCACAGTGACTGTTAGCTTGGAAAGGTCTTACGCCATAGAAGACAAAGACATTACATTTCTGAGGGTTCCAATTGTAGTTTTTAAGGAAATATTTACTCTGTGTCTTACAGTCTATCGCATTTTTATTACAAGTTGTGTGTTTCCCTCTAATGCTGTGTTACATGTGGAACAGTAATATAGAGGAATATAATTAAAAAGCCATTTCAATTAGATGATACTTAATATTTAAATAAATTGAAAAGTTATATGAAGATAATATGATTTTATTTTCCTTAAAGTGTTATAAGGGGACCCACGAGTCACTTATTACAGTACAGATTTCAGTGCAGGATAATAGTATGTTTGGAATGAATGCTGCGGATTTGTCCTTAACTGACTAATTAAACTGAAAGAGAGTATTAGCATTTCTTCAGGAAAGACTGCAGCCTAAATCTACTGTATCTCCCTGAGGTTGGTTCGATTCGGAGACAGTGATGAATTCCATAGAATTTCAAAAATACCCGAGAAAGAGTTACCCAGAACATGTTTTATGTTATCTGTACTATTACTGATGGAAAGAAAATGCTGAACATTTAGCTTATACAACGTATAGCAGTTCTACCTCATATCAACAACGTGATTTTCACTCTGAAATATCAACACTCCTGTACCATCCCTTGTTAAAATCAAAATCCATTCTGATAACATTTCAGAGGAGATTAAAGAATGTATCTGGTGTTCCATGAGTTTCCCAGAAAATGACAGTGATATTTACTACCCAACACTAATATCACTTTCCTGCCTCAGGGATGCAATCTCTTTCCCCCCTCCTTGCCTGAGACAAGACAGGCCAAGCAGTAAGGTCACTGAGGAGCCAAGCCGCTCCTGAAGTACTGACTCTTGACTGATGGTAGAAACCTGCCACACTAATGGATTGTTCCGCTCAAGGGAGTTGTGTTTGAAAAAATAACCTTCAGCTCTCTTTGAGTTTGAAGAATACCTACAGTATTACAACTCCCCCCAAAAAATTCCAAAACTGGCACAAGGTGCAGAATTTAAACTGTCGCACAGTTAACATTTTAATAATTTAAGAGTCGCACAGGTTCCAAAAGATTTGATAGGATTGATTTCCTGTTGTACTAGGATCAATCCAAGAATAAGTCAATTAACACAGTAGTGCAAATGATAGTGACAGTGGTCAAGAAAAATGACAGCATCTACCAAGGTGTTGTTAGGATGGGGTTAGATCAGCTTGAGCTCTTCTTCATCGCTAAAAAAGAAGGGGGAATGTATTTAGGAGCAAGCAGGACTTACTGTATCTCTAACTCGACTAAGAAACTCTCTAGACCAGGAGACGGCAACCTGTTTTGTAGCGCATGCCATTTTTTCCGCAATTAATTTTGAAAAACGAAACCCGTGCCACATACTATTTGTGTCACTTTCAGCGAAAAAAAAGTTGTTTTAGAACATTTAGAAACCATAATAACAGAGCTCCCCTCAGAAGCTACAACTCCAGGGCTTACTGAACATTAGAAGAGATTGTGCCCTACTGAAAACCTGTCCACTACAGTATGAAAAGATGAATTTGTTTCTGGATGAGCCTTATTGGTAGTATACGTCTTCTTAAACAAATATCGTCATGATCTTCACCATGACAGGGACGGGGTACAACTCAAGCTACACTCCTACATCTTATATTATCTTATATGATTATTAATATTATCATATCTATAACACATAATCTCATATTAGGTAGACCTGGGACAACCTCAGGTGAACAGAATGGCGTTGACCACATTTAGATCAGTTCAACCTACTCAAGAAGCAAACCCACAGGTGCTCACTTGCAGTGCTCTGATGTCAAAGTCAAAGGGATAGCTGTCATAGCTGAGCATCCAGGCACTTCATGTACCCTCAGCCATCTGGAAGCAATCAGGAACACCTGGGCCTCGTGTAGTTTGAGCTCCCTAAGGCAGCTGTGGAATGAGGCTTTGGAATGAATTGCTGGCCTAGAGCATATATTCAGGGGTCCTGGCACACCGTGCTTTCAGCTTTCCCAAAGAGATTCAGGAATCCCTGCCCATATTTGGTTGGACACTTCTGGATAGAGACAGGCTCAAAGTGGTCACCTCTGGACAGCAGAGTATTGGAACACCTGAGACAGGAACAAGATTACTGAAACGTGGACTTTCTGTAATTGATGATAGCACTATGTTGTCTAATTTTAGTATTCTCTTTATAAAGTTTCTGAGATAGCTGTGGCTAGGTTTTCGCTTCTGACATTCATTTTAGGAATGAAATGCTGGCCAGGATCATCTATTCAAAGAGTTCTTGTGTTGCATGCTTTGTCTTCAAGGATGTGAAACAATAGCCCTCCACTTCCTGGAGGTCTCACACTCGTCTTCTTGCTTCTAGATGAAATCCATTGAGTACAAATCTTCCTGGATTTTGGGAGCCCAGAAAGATAGATTCCAGTAGCTATGAGACACTGATACCAGTCTGTTAGGTTGGGATAGTAGGGAGTCCTTCGGTCATGAAGAAAGTCATGCTTAAATGTGCATGCTCAAAGAATGACATGTTCATGTAAATTGGAAAGCAGCTGAAATCCAGCCAAGCAATACTAAAAAGTAGCTGATTGGTTGTTTGGCACTAAGTTACGGTACAATGCAAGGGTTGTGTCCTAATTATTGTTCTGTGGTCTTTCAGTAGATGACTTGCAGTGAAATCAGTCCACTCTTGGTCCTAGAATGCTGTATGACTTAATATAGTGTAAAAAGACACTTGGGTGTCTCTAGTGTCTGGATCTATGACTTTAATACGCTGCAGCACAGTCTGAATAGCTTGTCTGGCCTGAAGGGGTGAATCTATATGAACCTAGGCACCCCGATAGATGACGATTGCATAGGATGCTAGATCCATCTTCTGCATTTGCAAAAGGTTCACGGGACTTTGAGGCCAAGGACAGCCACTTTGAAGCTGGAACAAAATCCACTGAATCATTTGTGCAAACAAGGCTTCTTCTGTTTCCCCCGAGAGACACCGTCTGGCTGAGTTACAAGGTGTCACAACGAGTCCTTTTTAAAGGTCAGGAACAGCACGGAATGAAGCACCAAAAAAAGGTGGCAACTGAGCTCTGATATGAGACTATGTAATTCAGAGAAGCAACTTTTGATCAGGTCAAGTTCATTTTTGTCTAATCACAAAATCTCCCTCATTGCCAGTGATACTGGCTGCTGAAAGTGACACAACTTGTTGTATAACAAAGTAAGCAGGAGTCTCCAGCTCCTGTGGTCCTTCTGTACTCTCCCCCTTTCCAGTGCGCTTCATATATCTCTTATGGAAGCAAGACCTGTAAACATACAGAAGGGTTAAAGGACTCACACAAGGCTCAATTGGACTAATTCATTTATTATCTAAGCTGAAGGTTTAAAAGTCAAGATTTGTTCTCCCTGACAGAAAACAAAACTAGAGGGATGGTGAAACTGCTTGGTTATCATACAGTAACAGCATAAGGGAAGCAATAAGCTATAAGGGAAGCTATCATGGAATTTGATTAAAGTACAATACAGTTCATAGACGTACAGTATGTGTCTTTGATAACAGAACTTTCCATTGAGGCTCAATATTGTACTTTGCAGATCTTGTGGATTAGAAAGCAGGAAGAAGCTTTGAATTACATTTGATACCATCTCTGATTTCCCTCAAATGCGATCCTGTACGGTATATACAGTACAGTACAGTTACTCCTGCTTTTGTAATTTGCTTAGTGTTCAATCTAGACCTAATTTGTATGTTGTAACAGTGACTGCATAAATTATTTCATGCAACGATACTATCAAGCAATCAAGGCTTGAATGGATGACTTTGGCTTAGGTAGTGAAAATAACTTCATTTTCATGAGATGCAAGAAAACATGGAAGCCGGACAGAGCTGTTGTCACCCCTTTTCCCAGTGACCTTTTGTTTGTTCTTACCTCTGTTTGCACTTCAGTGCACTGTAGTGTATACTGAGCAGGTGCCTCTCTCTGCGGCCCCCACTGTGGGAAAACACCCTGCTTGTGTTCCTGGACCTGAATATGAACAAAATTCAATTGTTGCAATTCCTGTATTTTGCTGTTTGCTACCATCAGACCAAAGAATTGTAGTGTAATCTAATGAAACTTGCACTTCAATTTGCAAACTTGGTTTTGGAACCGTTGTGAGAGCAAACATACAGTGCAATGCGATTACAAATGAATGAAAAGGAAAACAAATCATGTGGAGGTTTTGTTTTCCAAACAACCTGGCATAATTTAATCTCTGTGTCTAATACATTATCCATATTTCAAAGGTTTCTTATTTGTATAGCCCACTGAATTTGAATGTGCGTCTTAGTACATTTTAATGGCCTAAAAAATGGCTCATTAATTCAAACACACAAAAACATAGAGATAGGTCTTCATAACACATTCAAAATGTTCTCTGAAGCAACATGAAAATAATTTAGTAGTAGTAATAATAATAATAATGCTAATAATAATTGCTTATATTTAGTGCTTTTTATCCTTAAGGAAAGCAAAGCAAGAAAAATATACTATACAGTATATGACTGTGTGAGACATTGCAGACATTATGTAGCAAGAACCCCACTACACAGTCAATCACATAGAGAAGTGAGAAATTGCTTCACCAGTTACATTAATGGGGACTTTTGCTACACATGATTGTGCATACCTACAGTGAGGTTTAACCAGAGCACCAGCATTAACTCCTTTATACTGTTAGCTTATCACTGATTATTTTGGACATACTGTAGGTAGCCATTAATAATCAGGTGCTTTTTTAAAACAGGATAAAGTAGGGGGGTGATGTACTGTATATAAGATGATATACAGTAACAGACTTTACAGTACATCACATATTTATTACATGATATAGATTGAAATAATTACATACAATGCTGAAATCTGTTCATGTCATTGTTGTCTGACCTTGGCGTCGTCACTACTCTGTCGGAGACTTCATCCCTGTGGGAAAACATGCACCACATGTCCTTACCTGTCAAAGAAAAGACCGGCTCTGTTGTTCCCATGATCTACAGCATCTGGTCTACCCTGTAACCTGAATTGGATATGAGACTATGCACACTCAATCAGGACACTCCCATCAGTTAAAGCAGCTATGCCGTATTCTTTGCACTTATCTATCCATTGTGAGAAACCTGCTTAATCAATAAATGGCCGGATGAGATCTTTGGATTAACTGCCTCCCAACTGCCAAACTAGATGGGCTGATGGCCTCCTCTGAAAAACGTTTTTATTCAGAGCACAGAATGCAAGGCAGGACAATCTAGGCTCATGATTTCCATTCCTGGTGCTGGAAGGCCAGCGTCCACAAGGTTTCTATACTGTATATAACTCACAATCCCCAATGAGTAGAAATCTCGCAACAGCTGTAATAAAGACCAGTTAAGTGAACAATTGATTCAAATCAAGTCATTAAGAGTCTGCTTACCCAGCATGTAGAACAGACTGGTGGAAACCAGAGCATACAAACTCCATACAGAAGACACCTACTGTGCTTACAATTGCTTACAATGACAAATACATATATTCTGTGATTACTGTAAACAACTATTGATAAAAATACCTTCATTGTATTTTATTATTGAAGATTTATAGAAATAGTCTAATTCATGGATTAGTGCAAGATTTTCTCAGGTCAGTCTAGCATAGTTTAATGAAATACTACTTTGCTGGAGTACAGTTTATGTACAAAACACTTTTACAACGTTCCATCTTACAATATTCTGCATGAACTATAGTATCTGATGTTCTATCTGATTTGTGAATATCCATTTATCCATTTTCTAAAGTCTTCATCCAATACAGGGTCGTGATGGAGCAGGAGCCTATCCCAGCAAGCAACAGGTGCAAGGCAGGATACACCTTGGATAGGATGCCAGTCCATCACAGGGCACACACAGAGACCCCCGCAGGCACTCCCACTACAACCAGAAGCCATTCTCAAAAGCCAATTAACATACCAGTATGTTTCTGGACTGACAAGCTCCACACAGATAGCACCCCAGGAATTGAACCCAGGGCTCCAGCGCTGTAAGGTAGCAATACTAACCACTGCACATTGAGGTACAGTAGCAATCAGGCTTCTTCAGCATATAACACCAGACACAATGCAATGCTAGCTTCAGGGAAAGACAAGCTGAAGATTCATTCAAGCACCTCACGACCTGGGCAATGCATACCTGTACCAACAAGAGCTACACAGGTGCACTGTGTGTTTTGAAAATGCTTTTTCTTTAGCTTATTCATATTTTAATTAAGAGAAGATAAGTTCAAAAATATAAAAAATTAGCAAATAATTCTACTCCAAATTAATAATGACAGAATCAGCATTGTGATGGAGAACAACAACAATTTTCATACAATATTAAAAAAATGTATTTAACAACAGACTAAACTTTGCTATACGATAAATATATCGTATATATAAATATTATATATATATATAAGTATACAACATGGACACTCTATAACGCTCAGGAGTACAGTAATTACAGGAGACTTTAACTGTGGCCCTCACGCACTGTTAGGTACACTACAGTATGTGTGAATTTAACATTACAATTGATTAAGCAATTCGAAGAATACCCAGTAGTAAAATTGTGTTTCATTAAAAATATAAAAGGCTCTACAACTGTTGCACCTCCCATTTCCTCTGATCTACAGTTGAAGGATGTCAGTTGCAGAGGAAGCGACACGCACTGTAATTCCTTAAAACGAAATAAAAAAGTTAGTTTTATCGACATATTCATCACGTTAGGTGGGTCAGCCCTTCTCTTAGTTTAAATCCTGACGAAAACAAATTCTCTGAATAATTCGCAAATTACCTGAGTTTATTTTGTTTCAATAAACACCCGGCGCGATTGGGTACAGGGATCGGAGGGGAAAAAGCATTTGCCAACAACAGCAACGACGACTAAAACACACGCTAGAAACAAAAGATAACATCTTTAGCACCACAGTCAGTTAGCGATAATAACGACTGTCTATTTATACAACATAGAAACAACGGTAAAAAAAAAAATGTATAGAATAGACTGGGACGGGGCCACCCCATTCACTGCTGATTTTCGCTTCAACGAAAACTAAGGGGGTCTTCTCGCTCGGCTTGATCTGCTGCTGTCCTTGGTGATGTACAGCCCAATCCAATTAGGTTTCACCTCTAGGCTGTGATGTAGCTTGCGAGGCTTCAGCCCAGCCGTTCCCTCTACTGTCGTGTCTCTCTCTGCAGTTCACTCCTTATCCACCTCAGTCTGCTGTTTTTACACGTTCGACATCTGCAGACACCCAGTCCTAACCACATCAACAACAGATGGGGGTTATGCACTGCCCGAGTGTGCTCTCCGCCCGCCGGAGCGCCGCTTCTGAGCAGTAGCGCATTTCAAGACGTCAATGTGTGTGTGTGTGTGTTTGTTTTTTTTATCTTATTTCTTAAACAAAATGTGGGACACGCGTTCTCCGGGCGACGCTTCTACTAAAAACCTGGGATCGTAGCTGTCAAGAAAAAGGGTATCCCGACACCCGTCCCTCTCTCGTCATCAGAGAAATTGTCTTTATGCAAAAGGTGGTTTATTTCGCAAAGGTAAGGTGCACGTTGTTTTTTTTTTCCCTTTTCCTTACAGAACCACAACATAGACCATGTTATGGGAGATTCACTCAGCGGCTGTTACTCCAAAAAAGATGCAGAAATGTTGCTACGCTCTTGTAATACTGCTCAGGGATTAGCCTTCTTTAACGACTGTATGAAACAACCCACGAGGAACACAAGGGTAAAACTTGTATTTAGTAAATCATAAAATTCGAAATGAACAAAATACAGTATCCTGGCATTTCATGCGTAAATTGACGAACTACTGACATCCCTGAAAAACAGAGCGAAGTATAACTCCGAAAACGGCAATTCGATGAGACAGATACGGTATATCATCACTAAAACTTAATTAAACAATGTACAGTGCCTTCCGTCTATTGTTATTTTTATGTTATTTTAATATACGTGTTACCGCGCACTTGGAGACATAAGGTACTGTAGTGTTAGGCTAGCCTAATGCATAGGTTCCGCAATCACTACAGCTAATCTTCGATGACTAGAACATGCGACAAGAAAGGCTTTGAAAAACTGTTGCACGCACCCATGGTAACAGCACACTTTCCAGCGTTACAGTCAGCACCAAAGATTTCTCTTGAAATAAATAATTTAGCTTGCCCCAAGTTGAAAGCCCCCACCCCCTTTCATATCATACACTGCAAGACTTCTTGGTATCAACTTTGAACAGTGAGAACTGACTCTAAAAAAAGCTTTCTGCCCTTCAAGGGTGCCTTTTTGAAAACAGACGTACGATGCACGAATGTATTCAGATTTCATAGGTATCATAAAACCACTTTTGATTATATTCAGTAAACTTTGTTTCATATTAGTAGTCTTGCTTTAGCTCTACAGTACTGTATATCCGCTATGACTTTGGCTTACATAATTGCATGGACTGTAACCTTGAGAAGATAAAACGTGTACCTAATGATTTATATTGAATGTGGCAGGGAGTTAACGCGTTTATGAATTATAGGTAAATACGCATGGGGACACATTCATTGTTTTTAATTATAACGTGGCTAAACACTTTGCAAAACGTGACCACTTTCAACGCGTAAATATATTACTGTCTGCCAAACCAAGAGCTTCAGTTCAGGTTGAGTTTTTAAATAGCCAGGCTATTACGAAGTCCTGGAAGTGTGGTAAATAACAGGCTAAATACTGCGTGGTGGGATTTACTTCATAGCTACCGCTAAAAATACAGTCTTATTTTAAGCTTTCCTTCTATGGAGTTTGAAGTAAAGATCGATTTTTCATTAAAACACGAAAACAAATAACCACGTCAATATGTGAAAATTCAATTGAAAATTACCCGTTCATGAATCCGACGAAATGGGGCTGACTTGACTTAACCCGCATTTAAAACGCATGAAGCCGTATGTCACTGAGGCCTTACAGACCGCCAAGCCAAAAATAAACATCTGCATAATTGAAGAACAGGTGTCTTTTTTGCGATATGATGTACCATGTTCTATTAAACAAGGAATTTAGAGATTTGAGAACATCACATCTCCCAAGTTCTTTTTTTCGTTTTCAAGCTAAGATTTCGTGGAAGGGGTTTACTCACTGCGTGGGACCAGACAATGTCATTGGTATGATTTTATCTCAGGAAGCACAAGTCTTTTTAATGTTACAGTCTGTGAATTTTCCATTTCAGCACTGAGTCAAGACATTCACCATTCAGTTGTGTTTTTTTTTGTCACTGTTGTCTGTTTCTTAACGTGTTGTGTTGTTTTTTTATTTTCCTTTTCATGAGTTGTGATGCAACTTTCTCTCTGGAAAAATATCTTCGATGATGTCTTGAAGGCCTAAGCTAATTTTGTGCTTTTGCCTTTTCAGTTTCAACCATGGAGGGACTTGTCTAAAGGAGATCCTACATAACCGGTTCTTTTTTGAATTGTTTTTTTTTTTCTTCTTTTTTCTTTTCTTCTTCCTGGCGAGCGTCACACCTGTACCCTGTTTGTCATGGCTGAGAAGGCTGGGTCGGGGGTGTCTAGGAGCAACACGCGCTCAACAGCCTCTCTGCCGCCTGAGCCCATAGAGATCATCCGGACGAAAGCCCGTTCTAGAAGGGTCCGTATAAACGTCGGAGGGCTCAACCACGAAGTCCTCTGGAGGACCTTGGACAGGCTCCCCCGAACGAGGCTAGGCAAGCTAAGAGACTGCAATACTCACGAGTCCCTGATGGAGATCTGCGACGATTACAACCTGAACGAAAACGAGTACTTCTTCGACCGGCACCCGGGTGCTTTCACCTCCATTTTGAATTTTTACCGCACGGGGAAGCTGCACATGATGGAAGAGATGTGCGCCCTCTCTTTCGGGCAAGAGCTTGACTACTGGGGTATTGATGAGATCTACCTGGAGTCGTGCTGCCAGGCCCGGTATCACCAAAAGAAGGAGCAGATGAATGAGGAGCTCCGGAGGGAGGCGGAGACCATGAGGGAGAGGGAGGGGGAGGAGTTTGACAATACCTGCTGTCCTGACAAGAGGAAGAAGCTCTGGGACCTGCTAGAAAAGCCCAACTCCTCCGTCGCTGCCAAAGTAAGGTGAAAGGTTAACGCACGTGTCATGTTAAGGTTCTGGGTCATCTCTCTCTCTCTCTGTGTTTTTTTTTTCCCAGCTTGGGTGTGTTTTGGGTTTCAGAGATGTATCTGGAGTGCTTCCCCTTTGGAAAGTTCCTAAAACTGCCTCATCTTTCCCTCACTGACAACAACAACAACAACAACAACAACAAAAAATGATAGGGATTTGATTGAACCAGATTAAGCAAACAGTATCAGAACTATTTTCGGCATATCTTTAATGAGAACAAAGAATACTTGGTTTTGTGGCCTCTGTCATTTGGTATTCTGCCTATATGTGCCCAAATCCAAATTATGATCAAGTCTTTCAGTGCAAAGAATCAAATACATTAAAATAAGAAACAGTGTCTTTGTAAGTGTAAAGACTGGGAATCTGCCAGGATGTTCAAGGCCTAATTGCATTATAACTGCCAGCTTTAACTCTCCTCTTGAAGCTGCAAACAGTACCTTCAGTTAAAAAAAAGGCAGATGGATTCTTAATAGTTCATTATTAATTCACTTTTTGACATTAAGTTTCTGGGTCGGGGAAAATGTAACATTTTTTAAATATGTTAGTGAACCCCAGTGATGTTAAAGAAAATGAACACCAGACAAATCACCAGCATACAATAAGTTCTGTTGCAATAAAAAAGAAAAATGAAGTTCGACGAACACAGGTACAGTACAATACACATTTCGTGAGCTGCAGCAAACCCGTTCTTTTTTTTTAAATACACAGAAATAAATGCACAGACCAAGCAGTGGATGGCAGCAGAAATGCTCTGCTGCCATTTCAGTAAAGAACTGAAGATTGGGTTCTGAGGGGGTGCAGTGGAATGTGGTGAGTGCAGTATTTCCTTGGGCAGTAGTTTGCTGTCCAGATGGGTTAGGCAAAACCCACAGGGGCAGTCTCACAACAGGAGGTCTTTGTTCACTGCACAACCTGTCCCATCTCAGACTCGAGCCAATGCATCTGATTAACTTCTTGGCATATACTGTAAATGTCACTCTCTCAGCCTTACCCACAGTTTTCAGGGAGAAAGTGATTACAGCCTTCCAATCTAGTAGGGTTTCTGCAGTGGGGACCTTGAAGCACTAGTTTGATTTAGAATGCTCTCTTAGATGCCTGGATATTAACCTTTTTCATGTCTGTATGTGTTGCAATGCTGGTTTATTAGCTTGCTGCAGAGTTCAATGTGCAATTCTAGGGTAATGCTTAGGTAAATTGGGATTTCTTGTAGTAGTGCAGTGCAGTTTTGAACAAATAATGACATCTCACAGGTTTCCCAGCTGGTCTGAGTCAGGTGAAGATGATTTCATTTTTTCTTTTTTTATCTCTATTTTCAATGCAGTCGTGAGTGTTTAATTCAGAGACACCAAACTGCAGGTCTTCGGCAAAAGTTCCCACAATAATCACTCACTCCACCTCCCCATCTCCACCATGAAGCTGAGTCATTTTCAGGCTAGCACACTGCCCATCTGCACGCCATGGCTTCAAATCCAAATTTGCAGTAAACGTCAAGGACATCTGTGTGCAAATAAACTGTTTTTGAAAATGTGTAAAATCCCTCATCATGCATTCTGTATAGCTATTGATAGAGTCTTACTTCTATTCAATTTATTATGTAAAGCTCATGGAAACATGGAGAACCACTTCTTTCCAGTCAGCAGAAGTCATGTTTATTATTTTAAGGGAATTTGAAGGTTTTCATTCGCTTTCTGATTGCTCATTTTCAGGAGTGACTCACAGTTTTTGGTTGCAGTAAGTTGCGTTTTGTAAGTGTCCAGATGACACTGATGAAAATCTCTTTTAAAAAAATACACTGCTGGTTTTGCTGATCTCATAACTTTTTGGGGCTTCTTATATCTTGATTCCTATTAATTATGTATTATATTTCATTCTGCAGTTTCTGAAACTCTGTTGGTCATACTGTATCATTTTACACAGCACAATGATATTCATATAGCAAATTATTATTGCAGGAATGGGACCAAACTGATTAATTTGTATTCATGCATAATGCACAGAAGAACAGAATCATGCATTTCAGCAATTCAGGTGTTAGTCAGTTTGTGTTATAATGTTTAATTTTTAATAATAACCTCAAATTAAAGGTAATTAATATAAACATTAAGGTAATTCAACCAATGTAAATACAAGCATGGAATTATCTATTGGGTATTCCCTGCCTGATTTACTTTAAGTGCTTAAATTAGATCAGGGAAAATAAGATAATTATATCTGGTTCAGAATGTTTTGTTATAAAATATCAAATTTACCTTGCACTTCACATCAAAATGCCATCTGCATTCTATATTGTGAAAGAAAAAAGAGAAAGAACACGTTAAGATACAAAGATCTGGAATAAACAGTTTTAATTGCTACTGTACTTAAAAACTAAAAAAATCACACCTGGATAAATTTAACCAAACGTGTTTTACAGACACAGGGATTGCAGCAATAGATTTCTAGATTCTTCAATTAGGAATTTTTTTTTAAAATAAATAGCACTCTATAATAGTACAATAATAAGTTGTAATAAATAGTACAGTTAAATACTGTTAATAGTATTTAAGTACAGTTAAATTGGTATGTACTGTTACCAGTTTAAAAATGTATTCTTTAATATCATGTAAATACAGTATGTTGAATATATTGGATGTTTAGATTTTTTCAGATTTTTGTAATACCACATTCCTGTATGAAAGGTAAATATATCCTGTGTTTACATATGTAAACAGACATGTGCATTAGCTCAAAAAAGCACCATTTTACTTGACTGAATTTAGGTTTCCAAGATACAGTAAGTGGTGAAAAGTGAAATGGTGTTGAACCGTTTGTATAGTTGTGGTACACAAAGTGAATAGCATTAACTCTGTGACTCATAATCAGGTTAAAAGACTCAAGTAGCTAATTAAAGTAAAAAATCCATTTGTTCACAATCACAGGACAGAAATCTATGTTCTATGTTGTGAGAACTGGTCATTGATTTAGCTTATTTTGTTTGTTTCTTTGAAAAAATAGATTGTAAGCCCTCTGGAGAACAGAAAAGCACCTTCTTAAAGATAATCATTTGATGTTATCTCCTTCTTTTGTCATTTCATGGATTTTCTGCTTTTTTTTAATAGAAAAGTTTCATTATGCAAAGTTGCTGTGTACGAAGGACATTAGAAAATGAAGAACTCTCCAGCATGTGTTGGCTGAAGACAAAAATGAGCAGTTGTTAAGCTTTATAAAAGACCAGGCTGTTCTTCACCTGCTGTGAAAAACAAAAACATCCCCTTGCCTGGAGTCAGAGGAGCCCATGAGAACTTGGCAAAGCATTTTGGGACACAGTCCAACTTGACCCACCCAGAGACCAATACGTCTGCCCTTTCAAAGATAGTTGTCCTTACCCTTCACAGCTTAGGAGCTCATTTTGTGATGCACGCTGCACCTACAGTAATTTGAAGCCATTTCGCAAATATAATTTTATTGCAAAGCTTAATGCGATGTGTCCCAAGATAAATGGCTTGTGTGATCAAACTGCTGCTCCTGCAGGATTATGATCCAATCAGGACTGACTCACTTAATTGATCTTTAATGACTTAATTGATCCCACTGATGAGTATTCCTGACATTGTCAGGGGCAGGGATTGTGCATGTCAAACAGCCTGCACCTAGTGCACAGTGTGTATCCGTTCGTATTGGGCTCAAAGGGGTTACGTTTTGAAGATGATAGCACAATTCCTAATTAAGAGTGAAAAAGCAGTCAAGGAAAATCCCTGCAATTAGCTCTATCTCATTGGATTTCGGTTTGTAGCCAGAATTCATAATAGCACAGGAAGTGAAGTTACATCTGATTTCTGTTTAAGACCAGAATTAATAATTACACAGGAAGTGAGGGTTACATCTGATTTCTGTTTGGGACCAGAATTAATAATTGCACAGGAAGTGAGGGTTACACCTAATTTCAGTTTGTGGCCAAAATAATGACTGTAAGTTGTGAAATTGAGTTTTGTTTTCTTTTGGCATTATCTTTCCATATTTTTAACATGGAGTGAAATGTGCGAGTCAAGTGGGACATTTGTGTCTTGGCCACCACTTCTCTGTAAATAGTCACCCTGTTAATACTGTGGCAGCCTGGGAACATTGTAATCCGGGATCTCAACAGCGATGATTGTCTTGTTTGAGATGATTTTCTGGCTTCAGTAATTCAATTTCGTTTTATAGGTTTGACAGAGGATCAATGTTTTTTTTTCCTTATTCTAAAATGTAAAGCGGATCATTCGGTGGGGGCGGAAAGAAAACAAGGTTAGTTCTGAAGGGGGAATGATTCTTTTTTGGGAAATGTTAAAAGTCTTATCACGTACGCTCTCCTTCTGTGTGTAGATGATCATGCAGGCTCAGAGGAAGAGAAATATAGAAGAGAGATAACATGCAACCAGATTGTATTACATAAAAGTATAGGATATTCAGTTTAGCTTTATTTCAAAATCTGAAGCTGATGAATTTGTGTTTCTGAATAGAAAACAAAACTTGCATTTCTGTACTCGTGGATGAGAAAGATTACCATAATAAGAATTTGCATGGAAGTTCTCATAATGGCTTAGATTAATGTAGGTTGTAGGTAGTGGAGGCTACAGAATATTTCACCGCAGGGTGAATACACAGGTGTTTTGTGTTTAAGAAAGGCTGTGTTTGAAAATCTGTTTTTAATATACAGTACAGTATAGCAACACATATGGGTGGCACGGTGGTACAGTGCTGAGCCTTGCTGGAGCCCTGGGTTCAGTTCCTGGGGTGCTATCTGTGTGGAGTTTGTATGTTCTTCCTGTATTCGTGTGGGTTTCCCCTGAGTGTCCATGCTATTGGTTAACTGGCTTCTTAGAAAACAGCATCTGGCTTGTATCTGTGTCTCTGTGTGGCCTGCAATAGACTGATGTCCCGTCCGGGTATATTCGGCTCTGTGAAACTGTATTTGCCCAACAGTTTGGGGT